TTTAAGATCATTTGCACAAATTGCTTTGTCAGTTTAAGCAATTTCTGTGAAGTTCTGGCATATTTGCAGTCGAAAATGTTAAATAATAGCTACTTTTGCACTAGTTTGCTTCATAAATTCACTGTATCTTTGAAATCATGTTATATAAATTTTTTATCATGTTTTATTGATTTAAGATCATTTGCACAAATTGCTTTGTCAGTTTGAGCAATTTCTGTGAAGTCCTGGCAGATTTGCAGTCGAAAATGTTGAAAAGAAGCTACTTTTGCACTAGTTTGCTTCATAAATTCACTGTATCTTTGAAATCATGTTATATAAATTTTTTATCATGTTTTATTGATTTAAGATCATTTGCACAAATTGCTTGTCAGTTTGAGCAATTTCTGTGAAGTCCTGTCAGATTTGCAGTCGAAAATGTTAAATAGTAGCTAATTTTGCACTAGGTTGCTTCATAAATTCACTTTATCTTTGAAATCATGTTAAACAAAATTTTTGTCCTGTTTTATTGATTTAAGATCATTTGCACAAATTGCTTTGTCAGTTTGAGCAATTTCTGTGAAGTCCTGTCAGATTTGCAGTCGAAAATGTTAAATAGTAGCTACTTTTGCACTAGGTTGCTTCATAAATTCACTGTATCTTTGAAATCATGTTATATAAATTTTTTATCATGTTTTATTGATTTAAGATCATTTGCACAAATTGCTTTGTCAGTTTAAGCAATTTCTGTGAAGTTCTGGCATATTTGCAGTCGAAAATGTTGAAAAGAAGCTACTTTTGCACTAGTTTGCTTCATAAATTCACTGTATCTTTGAAATCATGTTATATAAATTTTTTATCATGTTTTATTGATTTAAGATCATTTGCACAAATTGCTTTGTCAGTTTGAGCAATTTCTGTGAAGTCCTGGCAGATTTGCAGTCGAAAATGTTGAAAAGAAGCTACTTTTGCACTAGTTTGCTTCATAAATTCACTGTATCTTTGAAATCATGTTATATAAATTTTTTATCATGTTTTATTGATTTAAGATCATTTGCACAAATTGCTTTGTCAGTTTGAGCAATTTCTGTGAAGTCCTGTCAGATTTGCAGTCGAAAATGTTAAATAGTAGCTACTTTTGCACTAGGTTGCTTCATAAATTCACTTTATCTTTGAAATCATGTTAAACAAAATTTTTGTCCTGTTTTATTGATTTAAGATCATTTGCACAAATTGCTTTGTCAGTTTAAGCAATTTCTGTGAAGTTCTGGCATATTTGCAGTCGAAAATGTTAAATAGTAGCTACTTTTGCACTAGGTTGCTTCATAAATTCACTTTATCTTTGAAATCATGTTAAACAAAATTTTTGTCATGTTTTATTGATTTAAGATCATTTGCACAAATTGCTTTGTCAGTTTAAGCAATTTCTGTGAAGTTCTGGCATATTTGCAGTCGAAAATGTTAAAAAGAAGCTACTTTTGCACTAGTTTGCTTCATAAATTCACTGTATCTTTGAAATCATGTTATATAAATTTTTTGTCATGTTTTATTGATTTAAGATCATTCACACAAATTTCTGTGAAATCGTGGCAGATTTGCAGTTGAAAATGTTAAAAAGAAGCTACTTTTGCACTAGGTTGCTTCATAAATTCACTTTATCTTTGAAATAATGGTAAACAAAATTTTTGTCATGTTTTATTGATTTAAGATCATTTGCACAAATTGCTTTGTCAGTTTGAGCAATTTCTGTGAAGTCCTGGCAGATTTGCAGTCGAAAATGTTAAAATAAAGCTACTTTTGCACTAGGTTGCTTCATAAGTTCACTGTATCTTTGAAATCATGTTATATAAATTTTTTGTCATGTTTTATGATTTAAGATCATTCACACAAATTTCTGTGAAATCGTGGCAGATTTGCAGTCGAAAATGTTAAAAAGAAGCTACTTTTGCACTAGGTTGCTTCATAAATTCACTTTATCTTTGAAATAATGGTAAACAAAATTTTTGTCATGTTTTATTGATTTAAGATCATTTGAACAAATTGCTTTGTCAGTTTGAGCAATTTCTGTGAAGTCCTGGCATATTTGCAGTCGAAAATGTTAAAAAGAAGCTACTTTTGCACTAGGTTGCTTCATAAATTCACTTTATCTTTGAAATCATGTTAAACAAAATTTTTGTCATGTTTATTGATTTAAGATCATTTGCACAAATTGCTTTGTCAGTTTGAGCAATTTCTGTGAAGTCCTGGCATATTCGCAGTCGAAAATGTTAAAAAGAAGCTACTTTTGCACTAGTTTGCTTCATAAATTCACTGTATCTTTGAAATCATGTTATATAAATTTTTTGTCATGTTTTATTGATTTAAGATCATTTGCACAAATTGCTTTGTCAGTTTGAGCAATTTCTGTGAAGTCCTGGCATATTTGCAGTCGAAAATGTTAAAAAGAAGCTACTTTTGCACTAGGTTGCTTCATAAATTCACTGTATCTTTGAAATCATGTTATATAAATTTTTTGTCATGTTTTATTGATTTAAGATCATTTGCACAAATTGCTTTGTCAGTTTGAGCAATTTCTGTGAAGTCCTGGCATATTTGCAGTCGAAAATGTTAAAAAGAAGCTACTTTTGCACTAGGTTGCTTCATAAATTCACTGTATCTTTGAAATAATGTTATATAAATTTTTTGTCATGTTTTATTGATTCACACAAATTGCTTTGTCATTTTGAGCAATTTCTGTGAAGTTCTGGCATATTTGCAGTCGAAAATGTTAAAAAGAAGCAACTTTTGCACTAGGTTGCTTCATAAATTCACCGTATCTTTGAAATCATGTTATATAAATTTTTTGTCATGTTTTATTGATTTAAGATCATTTGCACAAATTGCTTTGTCAGTTTGAGCAATTTCTGTGAAGTCCTGGCATAGTTGCAGTCGAAAATGTTAAATAGTAGCTACTTTTGCACTAGGTTGCTTCATAAATTCACTGTATCTTTAAATAATGTTATATAAATTTTTTGTCATGTTTTATTGATTTAAGATCATTCACACAAATTTCTGTGAAGTCGTGGCAGATTTGCAGTCGAAAATGTTAAAAAGAAGCTACTTTTGCACTAGGTTGCTTCATAAA